CTCCCGGGCAACCCGTCCCGCCTACCTCGCGGGAGCGCTGTGCGGGCAGGAGCGGCTTCTCTAAGCTGCGCTCGACGACGGCGGCGGCGGGCTGCGTCCCAGGACCCTCCGACGGCGCCCGAGCCCTGGCCGGGGAGCCGGGGAGGCGCGGCATGCGCCCGGAGGATGGCTGAGGCCGGCCGGCCGAGCGCTGCCCCCGCGGCCCGGAGCGCAGACGGCATGCGGGGGCTCCGGGCCGCCCTGCTCTGCCTGCTGTGCCTGGGCGCCGCGCGCGGACTCCCGGCGCCCGCCTCGCCCACCCGGCCGCCAGGTGAGCCGCCCGCGGGAGGAGCAGGAGGGGAGGAGGCGCCGCCGTCGGGCAACGGGTGGGGTGGGAGCCGCGGGGGCTCCGAGGGGAGGCTGGGGCGGCGGGGGTCCTGCTGCGGCCCTTTCCCCAGGGAGCCCGCGGGGCCCGGGCCTCGGCAGAGCCCGCCTGCTGGAAGGAGCGGCCGCTCCGTCGGCGCGGAACCTTGGAGAGCCTCCGGGAGACGTTGCTTGGCGCTCGGGCGCAACGGCCGCGGGGGACGGAGCCCTCCTGCCCGGGGGACTCGGTGTGTGTTGGGGGGGGGAGGCTGCTTTGGCCGGGCTCTCTCTGAACCGGGGGTCCCCTCGGACCCCGCGGAGTTTCCCCCGGCTGGTTGGGGCACCGTGCAGAGGAGGCGTTTGGCTGGACGCTTTTTTTCTACCCCTTCGGGCGGGCTCCCCTCCTTTGCGCTGGGATTAAAACAAAATATATATATGAAACCATCCCATGTATCGGTGCAAAAAGAGCAGCTCCCCCCCCCTCGATCGATGCTCCTAGTCCTCATGTGACAAGAGCCCCCCACCACCACCTTTCTCTCTTCTTGCAAAGTGCTGCTCCAGGGCTGCCTTCAGACTCCGCTGGGTGACAGATTGGTCAAAAGCAGAAGCTTAGAGGAGCGGTATTTCCTCCTCCAGGGATTGCGGGAGCAAACCCTGAGCAAATATTAGTCCGCCTAGCTCAGACGCCCATACGTAAAGAGTAGCAACACAAGGTGTGTCTCTTGGTCTCGAACTCGTAGCTATGGCAGCAGCCGCCGGTTCTGCATGAAAAGGGTTTTGTGCTTTTGAAAAGTGAAAGGGGCAGATTGTGCTCTGATTTTAGTGTGCTTCTGTTGTGGCACCTTTCCATTCGCATGGAATGGAAAATAACCGATAAAAGTTCGGTTTTAACTCTTGGGATGTTAACGTGTAGGGAACGGAAAAATGGACGATTGCATTCAGTGCTTTAAAAACTCCCAGCCGCCTTTGCTTGTCATAAAAGCAATTTATAAATAAAAGCCATTGTGAATTCCTGATGGAAACTGTGAGGACTTTTTCCAAAAGTTCCTTGCGTTGAAAGAGACTCCGAGGCCTTAACGCTGTTGTATTTAACGTGCAGGAGAGAGTTACTGTCCTAAGGAATAGCGGTCGGAATACCTAATTTTTGCCACGTAAAAATAAAATTGTCCCCGTTGAGTTTACTTGCTTTTGCTGACAGCCATATTCAGCTTTTCAATTCCGTTCTTGAGAGACAGAAAGAAAGAGTCCACAAGCTTCTCCTGGTATTAACATTAGATTAGATTGTTTATTTGTACTTGAATGAAACTTAAGTCAAGACGCTGCACAAGTAACACCAAAATTTGGTTTCGCTGCTGCTGTGTTGTACGTAAACAAGCACAACTTATTTAGAAGAAAATGTGGTTAAAGCCGGAAACACAAAAGATCGGATGTGTTGGGTGTGCGTGGGTATAGTCCCACCAGAATAAATAAAAACAATTAGACTTAATTGTTCCGTCTATAAAGACAAAACAGCCTTAATTTGAGTGAATGTCGACAGCAGTTTATCCCCAGCACTTGGCATGGGAGGCAAGGGGTGAATTGCATTAATAAAGCTGTCAAAACGTTTTAGGGTAGCCGAAACTCTGCATTCAACAGGTCATAAAGGCTATAAATATAACACGCATGATATAAATCTTAGCTTCGGTGAAAACCTGCTCTTCAACAGCGTGTACAAAGAAGGGGGCTCAGCCCCAGAGAGAGCGCAAATGTTTACTTTCGGATCAGGACTTTGGAGAGGGGGGCACACGGGGCCTTTGCGGGGATGAAATGGGGGCCGGCCATTGGTCCATTCCTAAGGCGTGTTGTTCAGCGGCTTGGCCTTTCACTGTCCAAGGCCTTATTTTCCCAAAAAAAGGGACGTGGAAACATTTTTTCCCCCCCTCTCGCTTGTGAGCTAATTCTCCACGTGGGGCCGGGGAGGTTATAACAGCTACTGCCTTGTGCCGCCACTCAAAGGAGGCATTCTGTAGGAATCCCTGTGTTTGCTCCTAGGAGTGCTAGCTATTAGTAAAGGTGGTGCAGATTCTAGCATCTTCCAGGGAGGTATTCTGCCGCTAGCGAGAAGGAGGCAGATGGCGGGGGGCAGGCTTGAATGCGGTCCAAGCCAAAGTCTCGGGGGGCCTCATCTGGGCTGAGTTTTTCCCCCTCCTGTTCCCTTTTCTCAAGGCTGCAGCAAAACCAGGTCATTTTTATTTTTATGAATGAAAGTAGAGAGGCATTGACTGTGTAGGTCATTCATGAGAGTGGCAGTGATGATTAGGGAGGTCACTGAACTTCTCCTTTACAGCCCGGAACATGCAGCCACCCTATTCAGCCGCCACAGAATAGACACGGAGATAAAAAAAAAAAGCATTCAAATTTGCATTCGCATTCAGATAAAGATATAACTCGGTACGGTTGGTGCATGTCAAGTAGCAGGCTACCCTCGGCTGCAGACGGAGCAGGGCGGACGGTTTAGGAACCCCACAAAGTGTCGTGCTCCAGTTGTGGCCCATTGCACTTATTTTTTAAAAACCCCAAAGAAAAATTAATCTGCTTTGCGCGTCGAACGTCTCTTTTTTCCCCTCCCTATTTACAACTTTGAACCGAAGAGGTGCTTGAGACAACTTCTTGTTGATTTGCCGTTGTAAACCAAACATACACCGATACCAAAGAGAACAGATACACCCTCCCACACAGAGAGCAATTGTTCCACATCTTGTGTTTATTTTAGCTGGGGATAATTGTGTCCACTTTCCAGGCTCCGGTGGGATTAGGTTACTTTGAAAAGCAATTAAAAATAATATTTTCTCTTTTCAAACCTACAGCACCTTAACACAAAGTAACGTTTTACAACTGTTTGCAGCCAAAGGGAAAGGAATAGGGAATAAGCATGAGAAACGGCTTGGACACTAAGCCAGAAATGGTTTGAGCAGATTTGGATGGTAGCTTTTCGTTTGTGGCTAATGGCAGTTCTTAAATCTAAAGCTGTAGAGATGAACTATGACTTGTTTGAAATAAGCCCAGTTTAAATCATGGTCAAATCCACAGGAGGTGCACAATGGGCACGGAGAAGCTCTGAATCCAGTTTAGCTTCTTTAAAAGGCCCTTGCTTTTAATGAGTTTAGTTCATTTCAAAGGTTAGTCAAGGTCCGGCCAATCAGAATTATAGAATAACAGAGTTGGAAGGGACCTTGGAGGTCTTCTAGTCCAACCCCTTGTTCAAGCAGAGACCCTATACCATTCCAGGCAAATGGCTGCCAATCTCTTCTTGAAGATCTCCAGTGATGGAGCGCCTACAATCTCTGGAGGCAGGTTGTTCCGCTGGTTAATTGTTCTCACTGTCAGGAAGTTTCTCCTTAGTTCCAGGTTGCTTCTCTCCTTGATCAGTTTCCATCCGTTGCTTCTTGTCCTGCCTTCAGGTGCTTTGGAAAGTAGGTTGAGCCCCCTCTTTTTTGGGGCAGCCCCTGTTCAAAATCACAAATTTTGAATACAGATCCACCAAGATAAATACTATGGTTGTGAGTGACTCAAATATTGATTAGTAGAATTGCTTCAGAATGTGCAGGAACACTCTTGGTATAAGAGGCTACTTGTTATAAGTAACGTCAACACAGGCCACTACAAGGTTTTTATAATGCTGTCATTCTGATCTGAAATTGTCCCAGAGGGCCTGTTTGCTTTAGCTTCAAATATGTTCACATGTCCTTTTAATTTTTTTGCTTAGGGATCAGTGAAGAAAGTTCCCTGATCACTCGGTGTGCATTTTATTAAAGAGAACAATTGAGCTGTAGTATAAACATTTCAAGAAAATTGTGATGACTACAGTGATTTTATTTATTTTGCTCAGCATCACTTTCTCGTTTGAAACAGGATCATCCTGACATTGTGCTCAGAATCATACCAGTTTTGACTGGCATGTGATGACCACAAGATTTGTTATCTTGCTGATTTTAATTGTTTTTTTGGGGTTTTTTTGGGGTGGGTGAGAGTCTTCTTCCTTTTTTTAAAAAAACAAACAAACAGCCAAGCCATTTCCCATTATATTTATAGTTCTTAATATTTCCCAATCTGTAGTTTGTAGAAATGATCTTGTGATTCATGGGGAATGGAAAGAAAATATTTGGAACATATTCGGTATGATTTTGTTTTGCTTCACAGGCATCCTTGTTCAATGAAACATTTCTCTTGTTTGAAACAGTGACACTTTTGTGTGACACAAATGTGAAATGGTGCGTTTTGCACCCTTCAGCAGTTAGAATGTGGGAATCCAAGTATGAATCGGTGGGTTTTGCCTGGTGTGGTTAAGAAAGAGTGGATTCCTTGGTGCTGTTTGAGCTTGGTAGTTTTCTTGCAGACGTTTCATTACCCAACTAGGAAACGTCATCAGTGACCAACTCTTAAGAGTTTAAGTGGCTTGTGTGATGGTCCATGAAAGTGTCCAGCAATGAGACCTCGGTTCTTATGGGGAAAAAGTTGAGAACTGGTAGGCTGGTCAATTAAATCTCTGCCCCTGCTGGGTCCAGCTGTTGTGTAGACATGGAACACTCCAGTGATTTAAGAGACTGAAGCCATCACAGATCCAGACTTAACGATGACTTGAAAATGGAGAAGTGGATGATGTAAATAATGTTGCAGTGACAGACAGAAGCCCAGCCCCTTTTTGTGTGTTATGTATTGTGATATATTCCATGCAGGGATGAAAAAGGCGAAGCTTGCCACAGGACTGTCCAATGCTGTTTTCATAACTTGGATAAAGGCCCCAGAGCTTAGTAGTTGTAAGAAGCAGAGTTTAAAAATAGCAGTGCTGGAAAAAAAAGAGGTTAAAACAAATACATGATTGCTTTTTTTTAAAAAAAAAAGGATTATGTGTGCTATGAAAATGATTTGGGGAAAAAAAGCTTCCCCCCCTTCTGGGTTCATTAAAGATACTGCTGCTTTAATGAGTAA